TTTTGTTTAATTTTGATATGTTCCATGATATTACTGCAGGTTTCACCAGAACAATTAAGAGCACACTTTAGTCATGTTGAGGTCTGCGTTTTGCAACCTCACACTACTTTCACAGTTTGCCTTGCATCCTGCAGAAAATTTATTTTAGAAGTTCAAGGAGACTGGAGTTTTGAAAGTTTTGATTGGTATCCAAATTATTTTTACGTTTTTTTAGCACCCAAACTTCAGGATCGCAGTGTTTTCTGCTGATAATTTCTAAGACTTTCGTAAACGTGCGTATCTTGTGTTGGCAGAATCAATGATAGTTAAATACATTTTTGGTCACTTTGGTCATTGTTGGTCTCGGCAAATCGTTTGTATCTCATGCTGTCAGAGAATCATCTTTCTTTCCATTATATAAAGAGACAAAAAATATTCGCCAACGACAGTGAGCAAAGATAGCTGGCGCTTCCTCACTGAGAAATATTGTTGTTCGGCTAGCGAATTAAGGGTGTTTCTGTAAAATTTTAATGAATTTTGCCGATCTTGTAAGCGCTGCTGATGTTGTGTGGCAACTTGAAATAGCATGGGGAAAATAGCAAAAACTCTGCAATGATCGCCATACATAAAATCTTAAAGGACAGTATAATTGATGCGACTTACACCCTTTTGAAGGTTTAAAAAAATTGGACACTTTTGACAGCACAACATTACACCGCTTAATTCTTTAATGCCGTAAGCAAGACAAGAATGGCAATGTCGTCTGTTACGACGGTCTTAGAAGCATATGATTCAAATTAAGCACAGCGCAAAACAGGTTCTGACTGTGTCTGCATCAGATTCTGCCTGGACGACACTAAAACCCACTTCTAAGAGCAGTTTGTGAAGATCCATTAGGTTTTTTGGTTTACTAATTACTAAGAAGTTGATGTTAGGATACTGTTGGCACGGTACTCTTATTAAACGTTATCTCTGTCGATTTGTGCTTTTTCGTGCGACGCAAGCGCATGAGACGGAGAAAGTTTTTTGTTGGACAAAAAAGTCGATAATAAAATATAATAAACATAGAACTGTTAAGAAACATGATAAATTGATTCCGAAAGATGTGAATAAAGAAATATATAACAGGAAACTAAGTGGAATTGTTCATTATTTATCATATTTTTATGGAGTAACTCATATACCATAGGATAGCACGATGATCACTACACTCCCATTTGAGAGGAGAGATTGGATAGAGAGAGAGAGATGAGAAAAGAGAGAGGGAGAGAGAGAGAGAGGATCCATAAGAAGGTTAACAAAATAATAAATGATATGAAGAAAAAAAAATATATAATAAAAAAACTAAGCTTAAGGTCGATTTAATGTATATTTTATTTTAAAATACCAAAAAAAGTTATAAGGCCCAAAAGATTTATTCAAAGATTTTAGTTATTTTTGTTTGTAACTTTTTTTTTCAAATTTTCGATTAAGGTTATATAAATAAATACAATTTAATTTGCTATAAATAATGTTTTATAACAATTTCAACAACTTTACACTCCTTATTTCAAGATGCGAGTATTCAAGGACCCAATCAACATTGGAGCTGCTGCAAAAACTAGAAAATGAATAAAATTAAACAAATTTTAGTGAAAATTACTCTATTATTGCTTGATATCATTTTATTTATTAACGGAATCCATTTACAAAAGTTTTCACAACAGCTACACAACATCCATTTTTTTTAAATTTATTGTTTTTTTTTAATTATTGTTTTATTGTAAAATCGTAAAAAAAGTTATAAGCGAAAAGCACAATAGAAAAATTTTTCAAATATTTTTTAGTTATTTTGTTTTATAACTTTTTTATTTTTATATTTTCGATAAAAAGTAATATAAATAAAGTTGTAGAAAATTTTAATTTGGTAAAAATAATGATTTATATAAATTTTCTGTACGAGATGCTAACTTACGAAGATAGGCAGCGCAACAATACCTAATTGTTTTTTAAACCCTTTGCCTCTCTTTTTCCAAGATGATGGACGCGGACTGGGAAGCAAGGGTTGGGCGACTCTCCAGCAAACTATGAATTGAAGTTTATACTCACCTACCCCCCCCACATATCAAAAAAAATTTATAATGTGCTGTCCTTTCCAAAAACTAATCTCAAAGTAACTTTTTCAATTGAATAAAAAATAAGTAGCTTATTCTATAAGCAGAGTATACTAAATAGAAATAAGCCTTGTCTTCGTTTAATTAAAAAATTTCAGTGTACGAAGTAACTTCTTGTTTGAAAACAAACAAATCCTCTGATCTATTTTAGCAAAAGAATATATCACATCTGTATACCCAATACATTTTCCAACACATAAAAAATTAATGACGATAACATCACCATTATGATCGACCCTATTATATAATATATATATATATAATATATATATATATATATATAATAAATATAAATATAAATAATATATATATATATATATAATATAATATATATATATATATATATATATATATATATACTATATTTAATATATATATATATATATTTATATATATATAATATATAATATATATATATATCTATATATATATATATATATATATATATATATAATATATATAGATATATATATAATATATATATATATATATATATATATATAATATATATAAATATATATATATATATACTATATATATATATATATATATATATATATAATATATATATATATATATATATAATATATAAACTATAAATATATATATATAATATATATATATATATATAAATAAAATATATATAATATATATATATATATATATATATAATATATATATATATTATTATATAAATATATATATATATATATATATTATATAATATATATATATTATATAATAATATATATATATATATATATATATTATATTATATAAATTTTATATATATATATATATATAATATATATAAATATTATTATATATAATATATATATATATATATATAATATATATATATAAATATATATATATATATAATATATAAATATATATATATATATATATAATATATATATATATATATATATATATATATAAATATATATATATATATTATATATATATATATTATATATATATATATAATATAGTATATATATATATATATAAATTTTATATATATATATTATTAAAATATATATATATATATATATAATATATATATATATATATATATATATATTATTTATATAATATATATATATATATAAATATATATATATATATGCATTTGCTACCCATACACCTCCGATTGCTACATCCTTAGTTCTAGTTTGCCTCCGAATTTAGGCGAACACGTACAGTGATGTTTCTTGTGCATTTAGTTGCTTACTCGTCTGTATAAGGCGTTTGACAATTTTTTAACTAAAGGGAAAATCGAGTCAAAATCATCTCTCGATATACATTTTAGTTCACCGTATCTGGCGTCAGAGGCGCAGCTTGTTACAGGTGTATACTCAGTCGTTAGCCAAAGGTAGCCGGCGCCTCCGATATACACGGTATGTTTAGCGGTTCACTTCGCCTCTTAGCGGTGGCAACATCGCAATAATTTAATCGCGTAATGTAGTCGGGACCTGATATACAATAATTATTATGAATAGTCATAAGAAACTGAAACGCTAATATTTATTGTTTCACTTTTGAGAACCGCGATATAAAATGTCATGCAAGTATGCATTTGACTAAATATGTATTGTTACGGGGTAATCTTAAATTTATCAGATCCGAAGCAGGTATCTATTTTATCTATTTATAAAATCGTGTAAGTTTTCATGTCGGTGATTTAAATTAGAAAGTCTAAAAGGACAAGATTTAACTTTGTTTCCGCGTACAATGCTTTCAATAGTAATAGCACCTACATTATTATGAAGCATACTTTTATTGTAATAAACGTACCTTACAATTTTATATTTTATTAGCATTGTCCTTATTCTTATTCCTTTATTTTGATTTTAATGTTGCTTATATTATGCGTACAGTTTTTTTAAACTTCTGTACGTTTTTGGGTTTATCTAAAAGCATCGTCGCGCACAACTTGTGGCAAAAGTGTTTGCTACACGTACCTCTCTGAACTGAAAAAATTTTATGTTTTAAATAAATATGCGAGCTCCCTTGCTCATCCTTCCCAATCCCTTTTGGGATTTGGTGACATCATCAGGATTTTATAGTTTTTTATGATTTCCTTCCATCCTTTCCGGTCCTGGGCTAGTTCTTCGGCGTCATGTAACCCTTGGTTAATCAGTGTTTCTGTTTGATCCATCCAGATCTTCTCCCAGATTTTTTCCCTTTAACTCTGCCCTCGATTAAAAGTTGTTCCATCGTGCCTGTTCTTCTAGCAAATTGTCCAAAATACTGCAAATATCTCTGTTGTATTTGTTTAAGCAATATATCTTTTACTGTTTGAGTTATTTTAGCATCGATATATTATTTCGATGATCATCCTAAGATATTCTTAACATACCGCGGTATCCCACATTTCATAAGCATCTATTTTTTTTCTATCCGCTTAGTTCAAGGTCCACGTTTCGGATGTATATGTGGCTATGTGAAAAATGAGTGCCCTTATCAGCCGTAGTTTTGCGTGTATTGTTATGGTTGAATTTTTCCAAATTGTTACCAGTTTCATCATAGCTGTTCTTGCAATAGTCAACCTTCTACGTATCTCTCTGTTACATCCTCCTCGTTTGTTATTAGAGACCCCAGGCATATTAAACTATTTACTACTTCGAAGATTCCTTGCTAGGTTGACATATATGGTCTATTTTCTATCGGTGCTAAGATTAAAAACCATAATGTAAATTTAACAACTTTATTTAAACATTAAAGAAATTAATTGCAATAGAGAACAAAATATAAAACTATAACATATAAAAAGTAATCTAGTGCCTAATATAAAAACTACTATAGAAGTAAAAAATAGAACATTCAGTAATGTAGAATAAGTACCTAAGCTACCGCAAACGCCTAAAACACTGTATTTCTATAGCTATTATAAACGAAAGTTTTTACTTTAACCCAATCTAAATTTTCTAATAGGATGGGTTGTTCATCAATTAATGTTTGACATTCCTCTTTTTTTGGTGCAATTTTATTTTGAATATGACCTTTAAAATATGACTTAACACATCTTTTCTGTTCTTCTGTCCAACGTATTTTGTTATTCTTCGCCTTCTTTTTAATCATACCTGAAGTACTGCAATCCTTCTTCTTATGCTTTTTCTGCTTAGTTGTCTCGTTATCGCTATTGTCCCTGTCCAATACTTCACTGTCTTCACAAACATAATTATCTGATCGATCGTTTGGTGGCTCAGATAGACTGTCATCATCGAAATTATCACATGGTTCGACCAAATCCTTGGTAGGATCAATATCAATATCTTCTAAAGACTTTCCCTTATATTGAAGGCCCTGACCCTTATCAAATAACACAAGTATTTTTGACATCTTTGCCATTTGGTAAGCGTCCTGCGTTATTCTGCAAGCAAGTAACAAGAAAAAAAAAATCTCAATGGCGTAATTCAGACTAGAGGAAAAAATTATTAAAAATAATGTTTACCTTATATCGGATGTTAGAATTTCTATTCAGAGTACTACGTAGTCTAAAACTACTTGTATTACTGCTATTTCTATGTTATCTGCAAAACACATACGACACGAATTGTCACTCGAATTATTGTCGTTGTCATTATTGTAAAATTCTGCTGTTAACTTTTTAGCACCTCATTATTTGCTTCAGTCTACTTTGATGAAAATTAATGAAATCGCTATATTTACAAAGATTATTTGAATTAGAATTTTTTAAGTATTAATTAGTAGTAGCAAAAAATGTAACAAATAATTTTTTTTTAAGTTAGTTGTTAGTATTTTCAATGATATATTATATCAATAAGTATAACTTACTCGTAATATTCCCTGTGCGTCTTTTCGGTGTGTCCCATAAATTGTGCAAAATGAGCGTATTCTTCTTTCGATAAATTAATTAGTTGCATTACTGTTGCTATTTGTTTACGTAAGCGATTAGACGTGAGTGCTACAGGATTTTCTGCGCCACTTGCATTCGCAAATTTTTTGATGACGACATCTGCTCTAACCCACTGAGATTTAGAGTTAGGATAAGAAAACAAATACGGATTGTCCTTAGATAGCATGTTGGTTTCGTTTCTAATTTGCAGTGTTAAGTCGATATATGCTGTACATTTTTTGGAAAGAGTATAATAATGGGTCTACTACCTTTTCCGCCAGCTACAACTCTCTTGTATGTATTTGATAAAAGCTTCTCAGATTCAGTCAGTTGCTCTAAGTACTCTGTTTGGTCAACACATGCGAAATTTTTTAAATATGAATCTATAGTTACATACTGAACATCTCCTATCCTCCTTCTATTAAACAGAATAGTTATGATAATGCAGAATCAACTACTTTCTTAAAAGCTTGTTGATTTGTCCAATCTTGCTGTAAGAGTTCAAAATTAGTTTCTGCGCAGTTTACAACGTGATTTCTAAATTTTATTATATCTTTTGTTAGAGGTAATAAAACTGGTTTATTCCACTTTTTTTCCGCAAGATCTTTCACAGCTAATGACGATATTTCAAAACTCCACTGACTATTCACTAACAACTTAAATCTCTTCAATTCTTTTAGTTTTGCATCTTTATCGTTACACAAAATATCGGGGTGATCTTTCATTAACAAATGACTACACAAATCACATATTTGCTTTAGTGTAGTTCCCAAATGCATGGCCAAACTTGGAGCTTTATAGATTTTAGTTTCCTCGTTGTAACCGCTGATTAGTCTTGCACTTGCTACAACGGTATCAAAGAGCATAGGGTTTAATATGTCAAAAAAAGGTAAATTTTTCTTCTCGGTATGTCGGCGCATTTCAATTAGTAATCTAGAGCATTCCCTCATTTTATTAGAGCAAGCGACCGAAATTTGAGCGCGCTTATGTTTCTTTAAGTAGTTTTCCCCAAAATGTCGAATTAATGGGTCTCTTTTTGCAACTAATGATATTTGGTCTGCTTTCATTTTTGTAAATACTTCATTTTTAAAGCCTTAAAGTAGCAGCTGTATTTATAGAAAGATCAGCACAAGCAACTAGAGTTTGAGATTGAGCACGATGCTGAATTTTATGGCCAGTTTCATTTATGGGTTTGGTAGCACACGTTTTGTAATGGCGACGTAAGTAATTTACAGCAACTATACGTTTACAATAAACGCAGGGTAATCGATTAGAATCTATTTTCTCTTTCTGTATAAATGCCTCAAATTGAGTTTCATATCGCAATAGAGATAAAATCTTTCTTCGTATGTTTTTGTCTTCCTTCGACCTTGTTGAATATTTTGAGAGATCTTTCACCTCTTTTTTGTCAGCATGATGTCTAACAAGATGTCGTTCAAAATTTGTTACATTATTCTTACAAAATTTGCAAACAGTCCTTTTCTTGTTCCTTTTATTCGAAATTTTTTCTATCTAAAATTAAAGGGATGATAGGTAAATCCCAGATAACTTTCTTAAACGCAACTATAGTGTATTTTTATGTATGAGAGAGTAATAAAACAATAAATTATGTATGCAAATCCCTAAACTGTTGATACGGGTGACTCAATGAAAAACAGATATTTGTCAACAAGTTTACAGAAGTATATAGGAAAACAATTTTAAATTGAGTATGAGCACCAGGTATAAAGGTTGGAGCAGAATAGAATACAATACTTGTGAAGGTTACTAATCCCTAAATAAGGTTGCCAGTGTCGAAGTGATGGAGGTTAACAGGTACTAATGAATTTGCAAGAAATATAAGATGTTTATTTTATTGGTTATATATAACCAATAAAAGTTTAATAAGTACCTACCTATTTGCAAAATAAAGTTTAATTCTTTAGATAAAATAAAACGTTTTATTTTATCTGAAATGAGTGCATTCCACGAAGTAAGGGTTTCAACAATCAAACATTTAATTCTTTAATTCCAGGAATCTACGACAGTAATTGACTAGATAATTACCTTCTAAACTTATTCCACAGAAAATGTGATAGTGGGTTTTTCCATTTTGTAGGAAGGTTCAAGTGGCGTATTCAAAATTCTTAACAGTTCACTAAAAGTAGGTACTTCAGTTGCAAGGTGCAGTTTATTGTGTATACTAGTGTTATGGAAAATTTGGAAGTGCCGTGTAAACGCCGAAAAATTGGTCCTTTAACAGTTAATGAAAAAACATTAATATTTAATTGTTTTAAATCATTTACAGACAAACGTTTATGTGAAAGTGTTGATGAGACCGTTGAGTTAGTTAACAGTACACTTGGTGTTGGGAAATCTACGATTTACAGAGTTATTAAAGAAGAGAAATGTGGTATTTTTCAAATGCCACGTAATGCTCCAGGGAAACCAAAATTTCAAATATATCATTTTAAACAAGGACTTCGACGGAAAGTGCATGAATTCTTCTTTAGACAAGAATTTCCAACATCGGATAAAGTTCTTGTCTCAGTTCGAGATGATAAGGATTACCCAGAAATGAGTCGAAGTACGTTATGGAAACTTTTAAAAGAAATAGGCTTCCGCTGGAAAAAGAATCCCAGAAAGTCTATTTTATTAGAAAGAAGCGATATTGTCATATGGAGAAGACATTTTCTAAGAACCATAAAGGAAATGAGAAACCAAAAAAGAAAAATATTTTATCTTGATGAAACATGGATCAACGAGGGTCGTAGACCAAATAAATTTTGGCAGGATGAAACTGTTACAAGTCAAAGGCACGCTTTTGTAAATAACTTATCTACTGGTTTAAAACCCACCATCAGGAAAGGGACGCAGGCTGATAATAGTACACATTGGCAGTTCAGACGGTTTTGTTGAAGGTGGTTTATTAACTTTTGAATCAACTCGTACCGGTGACTACCATGAAGACATGAACGCTGATGTCTTTCAAGAATGGTTCGAACAAATGATAGATCTTCTTCCTAAGAACTGTGTAATAGTAATGGATAATGCAAGTTATCACTCCAGACTTATAGAAGGACTGCCCACAACCAAGTGGTTAAAAAAAGACTTGCAGAATTGGCTGAGTTCAAAAAATATTACGTACCATCCCGGATCTATAAGAAAGGAACTTTATTCATTGTGTGCCCTTCATAAAGAAAAATTTAAAAAATACGAAATTGATGAAATTGCCAAAAATCGTGGAATGACAGTACTTAGATCCCCACCATATCATTGTGAATTAAACCCGATTGAACTGGTATGGGCACAGATAAAGAGTGAAGTTTCAAGAAAAAATACCACTTTTAAAATTCATGATGTTAAACAGTTGTTTTTGGAGGCAGTAAATAATGTAAAACCTGAAAACTGGGAAAAGGCAGTAAATCACACTATTAAAGAAGAGGAAAAAATGTGGAAGCTGGACAATATTACTGATAAAAATGATCGAGCCAGTTATTATAAATCTTGGTTCTGAAAGTTCATCTTCTGAATCTGATTTGGATTTGTAACAAGTAGCTGTAAGTTTTATATTAATATTTTTATTCATCTATTTAACATACCTTAGACGGTTTTAAAAACTCTTTTTCTCTTTTGTAATTTTTAAAAATTAAAAAAAACGTAAATTTTTTAAAACCCTTTTTAATGTAGGCCAGTCAGTTCTAATATAGTGTGTGATAAAAGAGGTCACTTTTGTTTACATACACATAACACTTTATAACACTGAAATAATTCATTTGTTTTTTACAATTATTCAAAGTAATTTTTCAATTAATCTTGAGCACGCCCATGGAGTGGTCAGAGGTACCAGTTAAAATTATGCTAATTACTCTCTCGTTCATAAAAATAAACTATAGAATAAAATGTATACTATTTTTTTAATGCTCGCTTACATATTCATCTAGTACAGCAGTACTTCTATTAACGACTATTGGTTCCTGAACTATCAAAATATTTGAGCTAATATCAGAATCTAAATCAACGGAATCGGAAACATAAGACCTGGATATGTGAGATTGATTGTATTCGTCAGTGCTGTTAGTGTTATCGGAATCAGAATGACTGTTTTGGGGATCATCATTTTCGTAGACGTTAAATTTATTTGACTTCACCCACTCCTACAAATTAAGCGTAATTATCTCGTCAACAATAAGTGTAACAAGACTGTTTTTGATTATACAGTATGGTGCAAATGAAAGGAATAAATTCGTTATTTTGTAAGCCGGCGACTTTAACGAAAAATCCTAAAACAGGTTGACTTTTATTTTTAAATTTTTTAAATGAAAATAGGGGTCATGTGCTAACTCAGTTGCAAGGTTTATCGAGTAGTATAAACATTATCATAATTTTTTTTTTTTTTAAGATAAAAATACGTTTATTGACGTTTCAATAGTTTCAATTTCCGAAGTGGAAATTGAAACGTCAATAAATGTATTTTTATCTTAAAAAAAATTATCATAATTATTTGTACAGGGTGTCCAAATTAATTTATTTTAAAAAAAATTGGACATACTGTATAAATCTTTATGTTAATGTTTATGTTACAGAATAGAGAACTTAATTACCTTGCAAGTTAGCTATTATACCACTCCTACTATCATAATTCGCCGGCTTAGGAAATAACGAATTTATTCCTTATATTTGTACAATACTGTATAACATTATTGCAAAATAAGGAATTTTAACAATCTTACCAGCACATTATTTTTTCTATCAGCAGAATATTCCGGCTCGGGCTCTTGATGTTGACTTGTAATAATGGTATTCGTATCTACATCAAAAAATAATAACGTATTTTAACTAGTCATTTACTACAGTCTTGTCATATTCAAAACTAATAATTATTATTGTGTTTTCGAGGGTAACTTCGTCAATAATATAGATATCGTCAAGATAAATAAATATCGTCATTCGTTCATTATATATGTATTGTGAAAAATATAGTACGGACAATAAGAACATTAAAAAATTAATAAACTCGATGTTGGAATACAGCTTTTAACGTAAATAATATGAAAAGGAATTAAACAAAAAGCCATCTCGACTACACTAAATTTTAAAAAATAAAATATTTGTTAATTCTAATACCTACTAACAAACATCGTCATAATCCGAATATCGGGGAATTCCCCTAAACAAAAGAGGCTTAGTCGATACTATTTCATTTATTTGTTTTGTAGTTAGTAATTAAAAGTGTTTTATAACTGCAAATAGTGTACACGTCATCATAAAATATGAATGTTTAGAAGAGGATAGAAGCCGAACAAATGTGCAACATAATAAAAAAATGGAAACAAGAACCAGTCGCAAATAATTTAAGCTAGAAATACGAAAACGTTAAGTATAAGAGAAGAACAATGTATTTTTATAAAAATAAAAAATGTTCAAGAACTTGTTCACCAAAGCGTACTATTGAAGTACAAAAGTGCTGTAACAAGATAAAACATACGACGGATATTACGAAAGAATAACTTTCATAGTAGAATAGCTAGTAAGTATCTAATCTTACGTACAGTCAAAATAACGCAAAAATTAACAGAATTTACCAAGAACCATCTGGCAAAAGATTTTTTCTTCTTCAAACATGTGCGCTTTCTTGACGAAAGCAAATTTTATTATAATAGATTGAAAACAAATTTAACTAAAAGCGTTGAGAAGTTAGGTATTGTAGATAGGATTTTGTCTTCTACAATGATAAAGATTCAAAGCTTCCGCACAAATTGTTAAATAGTGGCTATTATGTAATTGACCGAAGGTAATTCAAACATCGAAATAATCAACTGACTTAAATGCAATTAATAATTTATTTCTGTAATTTAGTTTTCCTTATTGAGTTCAGATCCGTAAACGTGATATTCACAATAAAGATCTTAAAACTTCTCTTCTAGAAAAATGGAGTAAAATTAGTCCTAATTAGTGTAAAAAATTACTGAAATCAATTCCAACCGAGCTCAAAGGAGGTATTATATCCCAAGTACTAACAAGGCGTTTATACAAATGTAACCTTCTGTTAAATTATGGTAACGAAGTGGAGATTGGCGATTTTAATTGTGAGCATTAGTATCAACAAATACTTATACTAATTTTTTAAATTTCTTTCGTTGGAAGACTTTTGTTTAATTTATTTTCATATTATTTATGTTAAAAGTTGTGTTGCAATATTGAGTTTATTAATTTTAAATGTAGATATTTTTCGCAATAAACATATTTCAAACGAATGATCATATTTACTGTGAGCCACAGTGTAAGTTGTACCGTTGATTGAAATACGATTGTACTACAAAAGCATACTAATTAGCTAAACATAAAAGAAGTAGAAAAATAATTATAATATTGGAAAAATGTTTACACTGTTAATGTTAAAATGATTGGGATTGTTTGCCGCGTTTATTAATTTTTTGGGAAAAAATAACTCACCTTCTTTATTTTCCTGTAACTCGTTAGCAAGTTCCAATAAAATCCTCCCTCTTGTTCGAGGTACATTG